TTCTGCCTGCAGTTGGTTGAATCAACATATGTGGAACCCATGGAGATGAACAATTGACTGTACTACTACACAGCTATTAGAATGGCTAAAATTTGAAGGATTAACCATAACAAGTGTAGGGGTAGAAATGTGTGCTACCTTTCCTCACCGTAAGAGTCACGGCCAACACTCCTATAACAAAAGACAGGTTAACAAGAGAAAAGCATAACTAATTTATTTAATCCAGGTTCTATGTGACATGGGAGCCTTCAGACCCAAAGACCCAGGACAAACTGTCTATTTTTATGCTTAGGTTTGATGAAGAATGGACAGCTGTGTGGAAATGTGATTAGACAAAAGGGTACAATCTAATGGTAATAGACTGAAGGGGGAAGCTCAGTAAGGCCTGTCCATTCATATGCTTTTTGGCCTCTCTGTGTAGCATTTCTTTCCTCTGTGTATAGGATAGGACACCTGTCACATGAGGGTCTCCAAGGGAAAAGGGGAAGGTCAGAGAATGACCTTTCTAGGTTCTATGACCTACATTGGGGAAGAGGAATTCTGGTTTCTATGACACTTTTCTAGGAGAAAGCCAGGAATAGAGAGAGGAGGGCAGCAGAGGGTCAGAGAGACCTTGCCTCTGAGGACTTCAAATCTCCTTTAGTTTAAAGTACTCAGCACACCAAGGTACTAAACTTTGGGGTATTGGGTTTTTGTTACTGGAAAGGGGTCCCAATCCAGATGCCAAGAGAGGGTTCTTGGACCTCATGCAAGGAAGAATTTGGGATGAGTCCATAAAGTGAAAGCAAGTTTATTAAGAAAGTAAAGAATAAAAGAATAGCTACTCCGTTGGCAGAGCAGTGGCATGGGCTGCTCGACTGAGTATACTTACAGTTATTTCTTGATTATATGCTAAACAAGGGGTGGATTATTCATGAGTTTTCTGGGAAAGGAACCGAGATCTCCCAGAACTGGGGGTCCCTCCCCTTTTTAGACCATATAGGGTAACTTTCGGATGTTGACATGTTTATTAGTCCATTTTTACACTGCTATGAAGAGATACCTGAGACTGGGTAATATATAAAGGGAAGAGGTTTAATTGACTCACAGTCAGTTCCCCATTGCTGGGGAGGCCTCAGGAAACTTACAGTCATGGTGTAAGGCAAAGGAGAAGCAGGTACCTTCTTCACATGGCGGCAGGACGGAGTGAGTGCAAGCAGAGGAAATGCCAGATCTCTTGAGAACTGACTCACTATCATGAGAACAGCATGGGGGAACCATCCTCCATGATCCAATTATCTCCACCTGGTCCCATCCTTGACACGTGGGAATTATGGGGATTATAATTCAAGGTGAGATTTGGGTGGGGACACAGAACCAAACCACATCACCATGGCGTTTGTAAACTGTCCTGGCACTGGTGGGAGTGTCTTCTACCATGCTAATGCATTATAATTGGCATATAATGAGCAGTGATGACAATCAGAGGTCACTTTCATCACCATCTTGGTTTTGGTGGATTTTTGGCCAGCTTCTTTACCACATCCTGTTTTATCAGCAAGGTCTCTGTGATGTTTCTTCTGCTGACCTCCTATCTCATCCTGTGACTAAGAATGCCTAACCTCCTGGGAATTCAGCCCAATAGGTCTCGGCCTTATTTTGCCCAGCCCCTATTCAAGATGGAGTCGCTCTGGTTCAAATGTCTCTGACACTCCTAAGTCAGGCTTTCAGTTATTTATAGTTCATTACGCTAGGACTCAAAGTAGGAAGGCAGCCTCAGGCCAAATTTAGTTTAATTTAACAATTTATGATCCTGATAGGGGTGATGTATCGTGGGTACATACATATACCAACTCATCAAATTGTATACTTAAATATGTGCAGTTTACTGTTAAGTCAATAAAGCTGGTTTTTAGAAAGTTATTACTGTTAGTAATATGCAAGGCACTATGGTTCTCAGACAATATGCCTCCCCTGGGTAATCTTATCCAAACTCACAATTACCATCCATACTCTGATGATTCCCAAGTATGTATCTCCAGCCCAGGTCATTCTGCTAAGATTCAGACCTGTTAATCCAGCTGCCTTAACATGGCCACTTATCAGTTCTGCAAGCACCCTAATTCAGCACGCCCAAGGCAGAATTTTTGATATTCTCCCTTCACTTGATTTTTCTCTCATGTACCCCAGTACAATGAAAGGCAACACCATCTATCCAGCTGTGAAAATGACCCAGTCATAATTTTGATTTCTTCTCCCTCATCTCCAACATCGCAAATGCATCGTGAATCCCTCCACTTCTCACCAACATTACATTAATCCAAACTACCCATCACTTCTCTGGCAACAGTCTCCTAATCAGTCTTCTTGCCGCCAAACTCACTCTTAGAGTTCACACACACAAAGCAGCCAGAGATTTTTAAATACAGACATGATCTTTCCATTCCCCAGATTAAAATATTTCAGAAACTTCTCATTGCCTTGGGATGAAGTGCAAACTCTTCAACATGAGTCACACACACAAGGTGGTCCCTATTTTTGTCCCAACTCCCCTCTAAAATGGTCATCTTTTGCCACTTCCCTTCTCACTCTCCTAGCTCCAGTCATAGTTAAAACTGGGGGTATTCACAGGCGTCTGAAATGGCCGTTCAGCTCCTGTTTTTTATTCAACGGGTGGCCTTACAGCAATAATGAACAGTGGTAGCACAGGAGAAAAAGCAGGCAAAAGTAATTTTATCAAGTTCCTATTTCAGTCAGAGGTTCTTGTTGTATAGGCAAAGTAGGAAAAAAGAAACACAAAGATGACTTTGGTGGAAGTATTTCTAAAGGAGAATGCATTTTTATGTTTTCACCAAGCTATCGGCCCCTCTGGATTTTAATATTATAGTGGGGTCATAACAAGCATTTCCTCTATTGTTGGCTTTACACAGATGCGAAGTGGTGCTCAGGAAGCTAGGAGACTGATGAATAGTTGGTTTGATGTATTTGAATCATTCAGCACTTTGAGTTAAATGTGCATATTCTGTTCAAAATAGACAATGGGGAGGGGCAGTCCCCCCTTTCCCTCTCTAACTTGCATAACATCAGGCCTCACTGCTTTAACTAATGAGTATTTAGAAGTAAAGGCTCCTACTGATTCCAGCGAGTCATTAATTCTCTGCTTGCAGAGCCGCTGTGGAGTTTTTCATCGGCCACATTTTTTTAGCTTTTACCAAGTTGCTTCTGAGCCGCAGCGCTGACCCCTGGGCTCCTGTGTGTACCACACACCAGACACATAATGGGCTTGAAAGTCCCCTTGCAAGGAATTTTTCTGAGGACCAGGAACAAATTACAAAGAAGATGCATATTCTAGCCACTCCATTGACAAAGATGTCTCAGAACTCTTAGTTTTAGGGAACTTAATTGACCTTGAATGAAAATGTATATTTAAACCAGTATGTATAACCTGGTAGAATAAGGGGAGGAGGTGAGTTACAAAATTCTCTTAAACTAATTGCACAGTCAGTCCTACCCTTTGTAATAATGAATGTTTGCTCCATTATCGCCCCAGGTTTATTATTTTCTAAATAGCCTCATTGATCTTGCCTCAGTGGGCTTTCCATTTTTACACATGACATTCTCTTGGGAATTGAAAAGCACGGTGTCTCTGAAGATGCTCAGTCAACTTGAAAACACTCATTTTCGAAAAGGTCTTAACCTGCCTTCAACTTGAAGCAATTCAGACTTTGCACAAACAAACATTAGAGCAGAGACGCATCACTCGTGTATATGTTTCTACCATCACTGGGAAGCTGTTTGTCTGAAAGGTTATTTATAGACCATTTTTTAAGGGTATTCAAAATTCAGGGATCTATACTCATAACTAAAATGAATGTACATGTAATTGGAAGCATGACACTTCATTATAATGATTATAATGGTTTCTGCATTATTCAATATCATAAATATTTTGTGGAAGGCCCTATTTCGTTATGACTCCAACTACTAAACTTATAGCTAAATCGTGTGGTGGAAGGGAAACGAGAAAGAAGAAATAAGTGGAAAAGGCTGGGAAACAACCCCAACTCAAGATAAATTCAAGTTGGAAAGGGAAGAGTTTTGTGTTTTGTATTGATTTGAGATTTCACTTTACTCATCAATAATTCCCTATTTGAAAGAAGGGAGGGCAATTTAAATATTCTAAACTCATGACTGAGGGGTCCATAAAGCCTGGAAGCTCTATGACCCCAAATAACCAAACTTCAAATACTCTAGTCTTTAAAAAATATAACAACAAGAATAGTAACTTGTCAGTAATTGAATCAAAGGCAATACAGGAAATAAAGTAGGCAAAATGTTTAAACTGTTATAAATGCTTGAAAGTTACAAAGCTCTGTATCTCCCCTCTGTTGTCTAAAATTATAACTATTTTAGTAAGCTTAAGCTAAAGTAAACCAATAGACTTACCCACATTACTTTTCAAGTGGTTAGGTAAAAAAGGTAATAAAAGGCAAATAAGTACTGCAAATTAATCCTCTGCTGGCGACAATACCTCACAACAGTGCCTCAGCAAACCACTTAATGTGAACTTCAACAGCTTTTAATCAGTTTTGTATGAAAAGACATGATTTGATTTGGGTTTTCAAATGGCTTTATCAATCATTCCCACAGTTCCAAGAATACTAAATAACAATTAGTTCTTAGGACAAAAGGTTTGCCTATATTAACCTTCAACTCACCCAGACATCCAAAGGCAGCACTTGCTTTTTCTTCAAAATGAGAGCATGTTAGCAGCTGAAAATATAGGTATATGGAAAGGTTGTGAAACTTCTTTCAAATTATTACCCTGGAACAATGACAATAGTTGGGATTTCTCTTTTGCAGAGGGAAGAGAAGAGGCAGAAATTCCAGCCCTCCTTCCCCCAAAATTTTAGTCTCGGGATTTATTGGTGCTGAAAACCACAGTTATCTACTGCTTGAAACCTAAGCAGAATGCATCAGCATTTCGGGACCACCTGGGACCAAGGGGGGCTGGGAGACTTCCAGATGGATTGTAAGACAGTTCACTGATATTTACATAACGAGAATAAATGTTTTTCCTAAGATAGCATTTCCTTTCAGTGTCTTGAGACCACCAGCAAAAGAGGGAGGTACAGAAATTCTATTACATTAATAGTCTTTGTTTTTATGGCTTTGGCATTTATTAACTAGTGGGAGCTGTTTATTGGGTCATAAACTTTACTAATGGGGATATTATCTCTAAATTATAAATCTTGTTCAGTATATGGCTTAGTTATAAAAAGAATAATTATTTAAAATGTCTGTATGGCTGCAATGTATCATGTTTATCGGCATGAATCCTATAATGGCCATTTCATTGCTAATTGTGGGCTTGAACCAGAAACAACCAGAGCAGTAACACACATCTATGCAATAGAATAAGCAGTTGTCACCCCACAAACTCAGGAGCATTGTCATTGGTTTGCTTCCTTTTTCTCCCCGAGCTTCTCAAATGAACTACATTATAAGCCTCTACAAGGGCTAAATTATCTACATATTTAAACTCTTGAAGGAAAGACAACTGACTGAAGAGTTGAATAGGTAAGTGACGAATGTGTCAGCTTGAAAAGTTCCAGGAAAGTGTCATCCTTCTAAAAGCTTGCTCTCTGGGGAATGAAAAATCTTAAAGTGACAAAATGGCTTGGCACTGTCAGTTGCCTTAAAAAAAACCTGGGACAAAAATCAAGTAGTCAAATTTAGGATTTATGGTAGATAGTTTTGGTATATAAATTGAGTATACTAGTTTAGTGTTAAGTCCTGAAAGGGTTGGGGGGGAGCATCTATTCTAACAATAGCACGTGTGGAATTATTCTAGGTTTATATATAGAAATCGTTTATTGATTAACTTCAATTTTTTAAAAATGAAAGGGCCATTGTTGTCAAGAGTAAATTGGTACATTTGAGTGCCAAGAAGCCAGCAAGACACTGCTGCAAATGTGGAGTGAAAGAATAATGAGTCCGAAGGGTCCCTTGAGATGTCATCAGCTCCTCTTCTTCTCAGAGTAGTCCCTGAAAGGTAAATGGTGCAGTTCCTTCTTGAGAGACCTCCATTGTCTCCCAGAACACCAGGCAAATGGATTTATGATACATAGCACCCCACATTGAACAATGGGATAGACGGGGATAGACTTCTTACACTGAATTCCCAGAGGTACATGGCTATGGGTTTTAATCAAATGTATACTACATGACAAGAGTTCTGCTGAAGAAAAATAAAAATAGAACTAGAAAAATGCAGGGGAAAAATGTTGTAGTTTCTGAATATTTAAACCTCTAGGGTGGGGCGGGTGGGATGTGTGTGTAAAACAAACCAAAAAAAAAAAAATCTCAAAATCTTCAGCTTTCACATTTGTAAATATTTTAGACATAATAAATTTTTGGTCAAACTATAATTATATACACATGCATATATTCCTAAGCTAACAAGCTGACTTTAGATAGAAAAAAGGGCATTACAAATATAAATACTGCATATGTTTCCTGTGTGTGTGTGTGTGTGTGTGTGTGTGTGTGTGTGTGTGTGTGTGTTTTGGGGAGGTTCTTTTTCTTCCCATAGCTTTACTAAGTTTAAAAAATAAACATATTTACTCTAGAGAGGTTTAAGAATTATTTTGATGAGGTGGGTTGCTACAAAACTTAACTATATAAGTAATAAATGTGTCAAAAAGGTTTCAAAAATATTTAATAGAATCACAACTTATTGCTGTGATATAATTTGATTTTGTATTGTCATGTATAACCTTCAGAAGTTATTTTCTGTTCATATACTAATGAATCAAATTACGTTGGATGAAAAATTATCAGAAGATTTTTTGGTATTAATAAAATATACATATAATAAAAATATTCAACATGTTTTAAGATGGCATTTTAAATAGTAACAGTACGGCAGCAATATAACATGATGTTCTGAAAAACTAACATGACAAAATAGGATTAATTGTGATTTGTGGATTTCCATTTAATATAAACCTTGTTTCTTTTTTGTTTTTAATGAAATTATATCTACTAAAGTAAATGTGGCAAAATGAGAGAAGTAAATCAAAGAGAATTGACCAAAACTGGCATGGTTATTCCTCCTCTAAGCCAAACACGTCCTTCAAAAGGGTCAAGTAGTCAATGTATTTCGCAGGAATAGGTGATGGCATGCCAAGCCAGATATCTTCACATCTCTAGAAAAAAAAAAACAAAAATGGATATGATTAGAACCACATTTCAAAGTACAGTTTTGAAAATTCAACACCGAAGTTTATTTTCAAAGGGAAAATTTCTACCATCTACTTCAGGTTCATAAAGACTTTGTGGTAGACTGGATACTTGTTCTTGATTCTTCATTCCCTCCCTGTATAAGAATTACGTGCCCACACTCTTTGTCATATGACTCTGCAGAACCTCCCGTGGAGTAAGAAGAGTATATTTTCCTGTTCCTTTGATATGTGGTTGGCCACATGACTGGCTTTGACCTATGTACTGTTAGCAGACATATCATGAACAGAGGCTCTAGTGTGCTGGCATCATTTGGCTTGGCCTTCTGTGCCTCTGCCATCACCATGAAAAGAACATGGCCCAGGATGCTGTTGTTTTTAGAATGACCAAGGGGGATCAGACCAGGCTGGACTTGCAGACTAAGAGCCAAGCTTAGCTGAATCCAGCCATGCTTCACTGACCTACATGCCCATAGACAAGAAAAAGAAATGTGCCTTCTTGTGAACCACTGAAATTTCAGGAGTTGTCATGCAGCATTAATACAGTGATAGATCCTCCTATACTTTCTTAGGAACCCAATTTTTATTTTTATTTTATTTGTTTTAAGGCAGGGTCTCACTTTGTTGCCTAGGCTGGAGTACAGTGGCGCAATCTCTGCTCACTGCAACCTCTGACTCCCAGGTTTGAGTGATTCTCATGCCTCAGCCTCCCGAGTAGCTGGGATTACAGGCACATGCCACCACGCCCAGCTAATTTTTGTATTTTTAGGAGAGACGGGTTTCGCCATATAGGCCAGACTGGTCTGGTCTCAAACTCCTGGCTTCAAGTTTTCCATCCACCTCAGCCTCCCAAAGTGCTGGAATTACAGGCGTGAACTGCCGCCTAAAGAACCCAATTTTTAAAATACAAACTGGTAGCTATACTGGCTGCTTGGTTACTGTTTCTTCCGTAAACAATGAAAAGAACACTGGATCACTCACAGTGTGATCTTGCAGATAAGCCACTGTGTGTGTGTGTGTGTGTGTGTGTATACATATACACACACAGATGCACATTTTATATAATATGTAAATATGTGTGTATATACACACACACACAAACTTTTTGAATATGCTGCAATGGTTAATTAATATCAACAGGAGGCAAAGTCTACATATATGCCTGCTTATATTTCTACTGTCAAGGTTAAAATATGACTGTCAAGGTTAATTGTTGTATATAAGAGGTTCTATATCTTTACTAGTGTTACATTAGTATCGAGAATCGCAAGGTGTCACAGAAACATAGGTAAAGGCTCAATAATTTGATGTAATGGAATTTTGGAAGCAAGCTGAGTAAGTGGTGTTTCAGTTGCACCTTATGGGATGAAAAACAGTTCAGCAGAGGGTTTAGGGTCATGAACGGTGTTCCAGGCATAGGGACCAGTGTAAGCAAAGGCCTGGAGACCTAAAATCTATTTTCAAGAAAGTGTGAGTAGCCCAGTGTGGTATGCGGCACATGGTGCAAAGTGGCAAGAGAGATGGTTAGAAGGAGAAGCTGGGGCCAAACTTCTGGCCTTCTGTGCTAGTTTCTACTTGAGGCTGTGGTTATGGGAAGTCACTGTAGGTCTTGGCCAGTGAAATGACAGAAATCTGATTAGAAACTGATTAGCTAACTTGCTGGATGTACAGAGAATGAAATGAAGTAAGAAAATCAATCTGGAGGTGAGTGCAATAATACCGCTGAAAGATGACTGTGCCATAACCAGGGCAGCTGAAGTGGGCATGGAGGACAGGAGCTACCTCTGAGAGATGCTGCTGCAGGAGAACATGAAATAGCTAGAAGGGGATCAATTGAAATGGTGAAAAAAGAAAGGTGTAGTGCTATGGGTTGAGTTGTGTCCCCGCCCCCCCGCAAAAGAGGTATGTGAAGTCCTAATCCCTAGTACCTCAGAATGTGACCTTGTTTGGAAATAGGGTTTTTGTGGATGTGATTAGGTAAATTAAGATGAGGAAAATGAGATCATACTGGAGTAGGATGGGCCCCTAATTCAATATGACTGGCCTCCCTATAAGAAGACAGCCAGGTAAAGACAGAGACACACAGGGGGAACACCAGGTGACCACAGAGGCAGAGATTAGAGTTTTGCAGCTGCAAACCAAGGAACACCAAAGACTGCCAGCAAACCATCAGAGTCTAGGAAGAGGCAGGGAAGGATTCCCACACAGGTTTCAGAGAAAGTGTGGCCCTGCTGACACCTAGATTTTGGACTGCTAGCCTCCAGAACTGTGGAAGAATAAATTTCTATTGTTTTAAGCAACTCAGTCTGTGGTACTTGGTGAGGGCATCACTAGGAAACTAATACGGGTAAGGATAGTTCTAAGAACTCTAAATTTAATAATAGTTGACAGTATCTGTTATTAGTCTCCTGGGGCTGTCATTACAAAGTACCACAAAGGAAGTGGCTTAAAGCAACAGAAACTTATTCTTTCACAGTTCAGAAGGCCAGAAGTCCAAAACCAAGGTGTTGGCAGCATTGGATCTTTCTGGAGGCTTTCAGGGAGAATTTATTCCATGCCTCCCTCCTGGCTTCTGGTGGTGGCTGGCAGTCATGACTTGGCTTGTAGGCATATCACTCCAGCGTCTGCCTCCAACTTCACATGGTGTTCTCTGTGTATACCAGTATGTCTTCATGCGGCTTTCTTATAAAGTCACCAATCACTGCATTTAGGGTCCACTCTAATCCAGCATAACTTCATTTTAATTAATTTTATCTGCAAAGACTATATCCAAATAAGGTCACATTCTGAGGCTTGGGGTAGAAATGACTTTTGGAGGGGACAATATTCAACCCAGTGTAATATCATAAGGAAAGCAGGAAGAGTTTTAAAACATTTTTTAGTAGGAAAACAAGGCTCAGAGGGAAATTCTAAGTTCAGTTGTGGGCACTTTTTCTTTCTTTCTTATTTATTTATTTATTTATTATTATTATTATACTTTAAGTTCTAGGGTACATGTGCATAATGTGCAGGTTTGTTACATATGTATACTTGTGCCATGTTGCTGTGCTGCACCCATCAACTCGTCAGCACCCATCAACTCGTCATTTACATCAGGTATAACTCCCAATGCAATCCCTCCCCCCTCCCCCCTTCCCATGATAGGCCCCGGTGTGTGATGTTCCCCTTCCCGAGTCCAAGTGATCTCATTGTTCAGTTTCCACCTATGAGTGAGAACATGCGGTGTTTGGTTTTCTGTTCTTGTGATAGTTTGCTAAGAATGTGGGCACTTTTTCTTTCAGGTGTCCATGGGACATCAAGGTGAAGATTCTGGTAAACATGTGTAAATATGGTTATATATAGCACAGAGCTAGAATCCAGAACTGTGCAAAGATATAGAAGTCACTGGAATATGAGTGACATGTAAAACTATGACAATTGACAACACTGTCATAGAATCAGACAATAACTAAGTACCAGCATCTCTGATTCAGGTGTAAAACCTTAATTTAAGAGATGATTTATGATGATGATAAACTAGTTGCAGATTTGTGCAGGGTTATGCATAGGAATCTTGTAATTACCTAGTAGTAATAGGAATAACAATACATTTATTGGATATTTACTACATGGCTGATACTCTTTTAAGTGTTTTACATGTATTAAGTTATTTAATCATCACAGAAACCCCTTAAGAGATAAGTATTATGAGGATAATCTATTTACACAAAAAGAAACTGAGACACAGAAGGATTAAATAGATTGTCTCAAGTCAAACCTCCAGTCAGTGGAGAAGCCTGGATTATAATAACCTGGGCAGTGGAGCTACAGAACTATGCTCATCTGCGGGGCAACCCTCCAGAGCTGAGAAGGATCTATTCAGAAGCAGCTGGCTTTCATCCTACACAGCTACATTTGGTCCTCACACTTCGAACAAGAAAAGTTAAGTACAAAACAAGGCAGTTCTTGAAGTGACACTACTCTTCTCTCTCAAGGATGCTGCCTCTCAGAAGTTGAGCCCAAACCACCAACTGGCAGTATGAAGAGCGAAATGACCATTCAGATGGCTGATGGCTAAACCCACTCCTAAGGGGTGTTTTGTGCCAACTCATACCACATGGAACTTGGTAAAATGTCCTTTCTTACACCAAAAAGTAGTAAACCATTACATACACACACACACACACACACACACACACACACACACACACACACACACACACAAAACAATACATTTTAATCAATGAAGGCTAAGATCAATAGTCATTCAACTCCACTATTTAACATGCCCTCAAAAATTTCATTACAAAACTTACAGCAATATTTGCTCTTAAGTGATGCTTGTAAATTTAATCTCATTATAGAGAAATAGTACAAATATATGCCTTCAGAAATCACCATCCTCTAATAGGTCTTTTAAATAAAAGTTTTCAACACAAAAATAATGCATTACGTAACTCATATAAATATGATGAAATTATTCAGGGACTGGATCCTCTTATGAAACAGGTCAGGACTAGAAGATTCTGCCTCATAGCTTATGAGTTAGCAAAAGTGGTTTTGTTTTTGTATTTTTGGAGCAAGGAATTGTGATTTCAATGCTGACAATAAAGAGAAAATAATAGAACTCACAATGCAATCATGAGAACTCAAGAATTTGGAGATGAGATCAAATTTGTTAGTAACTTGGGCACAATGAAACTCAAGTAAATATCCATGAGATTTGGTATTAAGGATAATTTAAGATGAAAAGATAACAGTAGTCCATTTCTTTAAATCCTGACCACTTTAAACCCCATGACTCGTACAAAGCTCTCCTGACTACTCCGGCCCCATTGTGCTCTTTCTTTCGAATCAATGCCACTTCCCTTGATTATTTTTCCTTTTGTCACTCTTCCTTAGGTTCCAGGTGGGAGTGACTTTCTGTCCAAATACTTCATAAATGCCACAAGCACATTAGCAGTGCTGTGGGTCCATCTATTGCCAAC